TCCTTGTGAATGTGCCTACACATTTCTCCTCTTCTGCTCCTCCCAGTGAAATCCCACCGGCTGACTGGGGGCAGCAGACAGCACCTTCTGTTCTATCCTATGATTTCCTCTTGAGGTAAAATGCTCAGTCCTTTTAGGAGACTCTCCTGCTGGGTACAGTTGGGGTGCTGCCTCTGGGGCCCCCCAGGCGCCGACCCTGCACCCTGTAGCATATGTCCCACACCTAGGCCCTGCCTCCTAGTCGTGCCCTGCCTACAGCCAAAGAACTCTGGCATCAGTAGAGAAAGAGAGAGAAAGAGAAAGAGAGAGAGAAGAGAAAGAAAATGAGGGAAAGAGTGCAAGACAGCACTATTAAGTGAAATGAACTAAAACCTTTGCTTGTAAAAGACCAAGAGACCCAGTGGTCCCACTTTACAACCTCATGGGGCTCTGGGCCCAAGAAACATAGCTGATGGCATGATTTTTTATGTTTTATAACTTACTTGACTATTAAAGGTGTTAATGATAAAGTTTAGAAAGGGAATTATTTTGCCAAAAAATGTAGAGAGGACAGAGTTAAGAGGGGGGATCTGCAGGGTTTGATATTATAAATTATGTCTACTAATCTAATTTGAGACATTCCCTTCTCAAAGGAATTTGAGGTGAAGAAAATGGTGAGGTGGTGATAATTTCTTTTGCTTCCTCATTAAGCACAGTATCAGCGAGGTAAGCACTTGTCCTTACTTCATGCCCCCTCCCTACATTACCTACAACCTTCTCCCACAGTCGACCAGTCACTTCGCACCCCTCCCACACTTTGCCATAGGAGCTATCTCGTAAACCCTGGAGGAAGCCACTCAGGCATGGCCACCCTCTGGCCACAGGAGTTGGTTCAGAAACAGTCATGTGACCTGACTGTAGTCAATGAAATATGAGGGGAGGAGTGTTGTTGATGTGCCAGGAAAAGACACTTCCTTGCTTACTTGAGAGATCTGTCAGAGGGGCACACCCTCTCGTCTTGGAGAGGGTGGAGTTCGAGTATGAAGCTAGCCCTGGTGCAGTCATTTTGTCACTTTGAGGGAGACCACTCCCAGGATGAAGTGGCCCATGGAGGCAGAGTAGACAGACACTAAGTTCTGAGGACATACTTGAGCCTCAGAATCAAACCTGCTCTGAAGCCTGCTCCAAGTTTGCCTTGCCAGTTCCCTGAGGTAGCGACTGCCCTTTACCGTTCAGGTCAATGCATGTTGATTTTCTGTTGCTTGCAACCCTAAGCACCATTAGTAGCATAAGTAGTTGCTCCTGTTTCAGTTGCAGAGTCAGAAATGCAACTCACATTGGCCTCAGGTGCAGAGGCTGGAATCCAGGTGCTTGGGTGGCACTTTCAGGAGTCCCCTGCCTTGCTCTCTTCCTGTCCAGACAGGCCCTGTCCACCTCGTGGCCTTCAGAACTATGGCGCATGTGCAACAACTCAGCAGTCAGGCAGGAAGAGAGGGACCCTTTTTGGTTTTCAGCCTAACTGACCCAGCTGGCCATGGCTCTTCCTTGCAGTGGTCACTGAGGCCAAGAGCGAGGATTGGCCCTGTCTAGTCAGTGTCTGCCCACACCAGAAGGGGTGGGGTCACCAACTGGCATCATGCGGCTTCGGGAGAGGGAGTGGGTGTCTGCAAGGGAAAATGGGTGACGTAGTTTGGGGAAGGGACAGCAGATGCTTTTCCTTAGTCTCTGAACCATTCTAGTGATCGAAGTAATGTCACAGAAGAGAGCCTGGGAAGCCACAGGTCAGGCATTTCTGCCTTAAATGGGAAGTTAGGGGGGTTCTACCGCCTTCCTTTTCTGTGACTTTGATTCGAAGATCAGCAATATTTTTGTTTTTCTGGGTAGAGACTTGCTGACTGATTCCAAATGAAAATATTTCCCACGCAAGGAACCAATGTCTGACTAAAGAGATTGTGGCTCATCAATACCCATTCCTCACTGCTTCTGGAAGTGGCTGCAATTCTGAGGAATCCTGGGCCGGTTTTCTAGCTAAAGCCATTCTTACTGTGTCTTGAGACTGCAGAACTTTGATCTGCACCATAGGGAAAGCAGCCACTTCTGCCCCTTTCTTTTCCTGCAAGGGACTGGAAAGTCTCCTGTCACCTCCTATTAGTGTTTATCATTTTTATTTTTCTGTACCCTGTTGCACTGAGTGTTGATAGTATCTCTTCTCTTTAAGTCTCTTCACCGTATCCTCTACCTTACAACGTCAAGGCTGGCGACATTTATACTTTGTTCTCACTCTATAAATAAAGCTTTGCCAGTGGGTTGATGCCAGGAGTTGAGAATGATTCTTACCAAGATTACAACTGTAGACAGATGTTGACTGCAGAGTTGAGCAGGGGACTCCGATTACCATCTTTCTCTTCATAACAATGCCTTTATGTAACATATACAACCTCTGTTTTTTTTCCAACACTGTCTATGGGCTTATTGTGAATGCTGCAGACATCACCGTGACCTGCAGATCCCTGGCTGTTCTCTACCTCTCCTGATAGCCATGGGAGAATACTTGACTCAGCCTTTCCTTGGTTCCTCAGTGGTCTCAGACCCTGAGATCCAACTACAATTCAGATTGTAGTTGACCCTTGAGGGAATCACCATGTCTACCTTCCTACTTCCCATTTACTTGTAAACGGACAAGTAAGTGCATGAGTGGCTCCCGATTCCAGCATGGGACCCGGCTCCTGGGCATGTTGCCTGCCTCCAAAAGGGTGCTTCCTCCACAAGGGTGCTTCCTCCACATGTATGTCGAATGGATTTGTTGTTGAAGATGATGAGTTTGCACTGTACACTCCTGCAGAATTTGTGCACGTCACACTCCACCATGAAGGAAATAATGTATACAGTGGTCCATTTCCAAGACAAAGTGCCTTAAATTGACTTAGGTCAGCAAACTACAGAAGAAACAGGATATACTAGGCCCCTGCTTAAATAGCGGATGCCTGCTTGTCAGCCTCCCCCTTTCCCCCTCTTCTCCCTCTGCCCCTTAGTTGCCTTCACCCGAACCAAAAAAGTTTAGTCTAAGATGAAAGCTTAGTAGTCTCCAAAATAGCTCACTTTGTCTGTTCTTATCAGTCTGCCCAGCTACTTAGGTCATAAGTCAAATATACTTGAAGAGCCCTGAGCTAACTAGGATTGCAATGCACTGTGGGCTGCAATAAAATGCAGCAAAGACAACCCTAAAAAAACATCTGAAGCCCCTACCCAACAATCAGTAGGTGACGTCTGGGAAGATTGTGACCCCATAGTACTCAACCTATAAGGAACTGGGAGAGGGACCTGCACACTGGGGGATAAATTGCTTGTTGAAACTGTGCTGGGTGTGCCTACCTATCAGACACCTGATCTTGCAAGACTGTCGTTAAAAGTCTCACTTTGGCTGTTCTCCGGGTCTCTCAGTCCGTTTTTGGGTTTGGACGGGTGAGTTTGTTTCTCACAACTAGACACATCCTTTGGGTGACCAACTGCATCACATTTAAACAACAGCCAGAAACAAGGAGCCTGCAAGCCAGCAGACTCAGCCATCCCATGGGCAGCGCACAGCCCCAGGAGGGAGTCAGGCCTGGTCGTATCTATTGGCCTCGGGACTGGGTGCCCCTCTGGTATGTTTAACAGCTGGGACTGCACACCCACTTTTGTTTCCTCAGCTAGCCTCTCGTGTGCTACTCTAGCCTCAGGGTCTCCTAAATTCACCCTATAAAAATAACTGTCCTTGTTTCAAGCAACAAATCTCATTTCTAAGCTGATCACTTTCCTGGAGGTTGGGACCCTGGATGACTTGAGCCAATCAGACCTGCCCTGGGGCTGGGCAGTGGAGTGACCTCAGAATCTTCGCCCGGGAGGAAGAGCCACCAGCAGTGTCTGCCAAAACCGACATATCTTTACCTAGTGAAGGAATGTTTTCATGTTTTTTTATGGCTTGTATTGTTGTCTTAGGAGGTTGTATCTGTTTGCATCTCTGCTCATGTGGCCCTGTTTCTCCCTTCACTTCCTGTCTGCTCCCTTCTAGCCCTTTCTACCTTACCACCTCCTCCCCATTCTCCCCTCTTGGGGGCCTCCTTTCTCTGCCCACAGATGCCTCACTTCTTGGCATGTGCAGAGGGATATGGTTCTCACTCTGCCTTCTTTGCCACCCCTGCAGCTCATCCTGACAGTGAGTACAGGTAGTTGCTGGACTAAAGGCTTTGTTCTGCAGAAAACAGCCATGCCATCCATCCCCTGGGAGGCGGCAAAGCCCTGGCCACGTGGGACTTAGTGATAATGTGAAAAATTTCTCTCCGTGCCTTGCTGGGACACTCCTACTCCTCTGTCTTCTGTGCTAGAGTCTGAGCTCTCTGAGGAGAGGATTGGGCCAAGGTATCTTGGATTCTTCCTACTTAGCGTGGTGCAGGTGCCTAATGAAAGTTTAAGTAAAGAGGCAAGGAAACAAGGAAAGATGAGAGAAAGGAAGACTGGAGAGGTGGCGTCCCTTTTCCTCACTGCACTGCATGAAGTGCACAGGATGCAGAGGCGTGGATTGGAAGTGCCTATCAGGCTTTGTCTCTGGTGCAGGGCATCTTTGCTTCCTCTTCCTCCCTTTTTCTATCTCCTGAGTCTGTCTTCCCTGCTACCTTTGTAGACTTTGCCAGTTAGCAACTGTACGTTTCCCCGGCTGAGTGACTTCACAACTGAAATTAAACCACAGTACTTAGAAAGCCCTGTCTTCGCATTTTCTCAGTCTCCCTTGCTGGTTCAGAGCTTGCAGTCTTTGCCAGTTACCACAAGATGATTCAACAGTTTCTGTTTCCATTCACCGTCAATTCATCAGGCTATGCAGGTGGCTCCTGGGGGTGGGGTGAAGGCTTCAGTGGTAGGAGGTTGAGCTACGGGTGCAGCTGTGGTGTTTACTAGAAGGCAGATGGTTTCCTTGCTCTCTGCCTTTGGGGATTTGTTCTTCATGCCCACCTGTCATTTGTGTGAGTGCTTGGCCGTGGTTTTACCTCGTTGGTGTTGGACATAAGGCATTTTTGACTCTTGCCATTTTCAGCAAGAAGAGAATGATGTAGGGAATTATCATGGGCTGAATTGAAGGTGTTTCTGGAAGCAAACTTGCAAAAGGGACCAGAAAAAAGGGGCAGGTTATTAAAGCGGGAGCATGCTGTGAACGCAGCTTGAATTTGAAGTTCATGTTGATGCTTCGTTCCAGAATGTCTGTGCTACCTGGAATCATTCCATGCATGGTCAAAGGGTAGACACCAAGGGTGTCCCTGGTCATGATGGCATTCAAATTTGGTATCTGAAGATGTGTTTTCCACTAGATCAAAACTGATTTTTGATTTAGATTTTGAGAAAACCATGCACAAAGACTGTTTTTAAAAATGTTTCAGTTTTTTGTTTTCATTTTTAATGCACAGAGGTCATTTTGTTGTTTGTGTTGCCTTGGTTTTTCCTTCTTTTTAAAATAAACTTTTTTATTTTGCAATAATTTTCAATGTGTAGAAAAGTTACAAAGCATAGTACAGAGATTTGCCGTATACCTTCCCCTGTTATTCACATCTTACACAACCATAGCACATTTGTCAAAACGAAGACAGCAGCACTGACAGGCTGGGCGGGGTGGCTCACGCCTGTAATCTCAGCACTTTGGGAGGCTGAGGCCGGCGGATCACCTGAGGTCAGGAGTTCAAGAGCACCTTGGCCAACATGCCAAAACCCTGTCTCTACTAAAAATACAAAAAAATTATCCGGGCGTCATGGCAGGCACCTGTCATCCCAGCTAATCAGGAGACTGAGGCAAGAGAATCGTTTGAACCAGGGAGGTAGAGGTTGCAGTGAGCGGAGATCACACCACTGCACTCCAGCCTGGGTGACAGAGGGAGACTCCATCTCAAAAAAACAAAGCAGCATCTGTTAAACTCTAGACTTTGTGTTTCTTTAGTTTTCCCACGGGTGGTCGATTTCTGCTCCAGGGTCCCGTCCAGGATGCCACACTGTGTTTTGCTGTCACATCTCAGTGTCCCCTGGTCTGTGACAGTTCCTCCACCTTTCATGCTTTCCATGACCTGGCTCTTTTGAAGAGTACTGGCAGGTGTTTGTTGAGTGTCTCTCAATTTGGGTTTGTCTGTGTTTTCCTTATGACTAGATTGGGATAACGGGTGTTGGGAAGAATATCCCGAGGAAGTGCCTTTCTGGTCACATCGTGTTAGTGCGTACATTCCATCAACATGGCTTATCCCTGGTGATGTTTGTAGTGCTTGTCAGGTTTCTCCACTGTGCAATTACTTTTTCCCTCTTTGGAAGCCAGTCATTCAATCCGTCCAACATTCAAGGTGGGTGAGTGAGTAGGTGGGGCTAGTTAAGCTCCATGTTCTGGAGGAGAGAGTAGCTACGTGAATTATTTCTTATAGGAGATTGATCTCTTTCCCCCCATGTATTTATTTATTAAATCATTTACTTATATCAGTATAGACTAACATATGTTTATTTTGTGTTTTGGGTTACAATCCAACAGCACATTTTTGTTGCTCAAATTGTTCCAGCTTTGGCCATTGGGAGTTTCAGCCTCATCTTATATTTTCCCTGCCCCTGTCCTGGAATCAGCCATTTATCCGAGGAGCCCTAGTTTCTTTTATTTGAGAACAGTATTTAGAAACCAACTTTGGTGCACAAAGTTCTTACTTGAGAAAACAGTGGCCCTACCATAATTCCAGTTCTGATCATCTTTTTTCCACTGCTGTATATACACATATATATAAATTACATATTATATATAAGCAAACATATACATATTATATATAAACAAATACACATATATTTGTCTGTATGTGTATATATGTGTGTGTATATATATATGTAATTTTTTTTGAGACAGGGTCTTGCTCTGTTCCTCAGGCTGGAGTGCAGTGGCATGATCATGGCTCACTGCAGCCTCGACTTTCCAGGCTCAAGTGGTCCTCCCACCTCAACCTCCTGAGTAGCTGAGACTACAGGTGCTCTGCTAATTTTTGTATTTTTTGTAGAGATGGGGCTTTGCCATGTTGCCCAGGCTGGTCTTGAACTCCTCAGCTCAAACAATCCACCTGCCTTGGGCTCCCAAAGTACTGGGATTACAAGTGTGAGCCACCATGCCTGGCCCCAATACTTTATATTTAAAACAATGCCCAAAAATGGAAAGACCTTGACATTGAGGATGTTTCTATCCACTACCTAGATTCTGCCATTAACATGCTACTATACTTGCTTTATCACATATGTGCCCATCTATTGATCTCTCTATTCGCCATATCCCATTTTTGGGTGCATTTCAAAATTACTAACATAAATATTTTTCCCCCTAAATAACTCAGTGTGCATACCACTAGCAAGACTTTAATATGTGCCAGATCTTTTTCATTTGCTGCAAAACTTCATACAATGAAATGCAGAAATCTTCAGTGTACATTCTCAGGGCTTTGCCAAATATATATACCTATGTAACCCAACCACCATCAAAATAAATAGAACATTATTATTACCCCAAAAAGTTCTCTTATACCCTTGCCAGTCAACCCCTGCTCCCACCCTCCTGGAGGTAACCACTGTTATGTGTGTTTTTTCCCCCATTATTGGTTAGTTTTGTCTGTTTTAGTACTTATTATCAGAATCACATAATTTGTTCACCCAACATATTTTGATGGTATATTAATTCAATTCAATCCTGTATAATGATGAAAATGAATGAACCACAACTACAACGGATGCTAAAGATGACTCTAATTAGCCATACTAAGGGAAAGAAGCCAGACACAAAAGAATACATAGTAGATAATCCCATTTCATTTCTTTTCTTTTTTTTTTTTTTTAGATGGAGTCTTGCTCTGTCTCATCCAGGTTGGAGTGCAACGGCACAATCTTGGCTCACTTCAGCCTCTGCCTTCTGGGTTCAAGCAAGTCTCCCTACCTGGGACTACAGGCATGTGCCACCACACCCGGCTAATTTTGTATTTTTAGTAAAGACAGGATTTCACCATGTTGTCCAGGCTGGTCTTGAACTCATGACCTCAGGTGATCCACCTGCCTCAGCCTCTCAGAGTGCTGGGATTACAACGTGAGCCACCGTGCCTGGCCTGTTTCTTTAATATTCAAAAGAAGCAAAAAATACGTTAGGCATGGTAGTATACTTATAGTCCCAACTACTTGGGAGGCGGAGGCAGGAGGATCGCTTGAGGCCTGGAGTTCAAGACGAGCCTGGGCAACATAATGAGACCCCGTCTCAAAATAAATAAATAAAAGAAGTAAAAAATAATTTATGAAGTTATAAGGCAGGATAGTAGCTAGCACCGTGTAGGAGAGAGAAAGTAGTGATTGAGGGGGATCTTGTATGCTGGTTCTGGAATGTGATTTTCCTTGGCTTGGGTGTGGATTACACAGTTGAGGTGACTTGGCGATAATTCACTGGGCTGTACATTTACCACTCATGCCTTTGTTCTTGTTGCATCGTATGTTACTACAGTGCTTTAAAAATAAGATACTTGTCATGTCCATCAATTTTGTGTGTGTGCATGACACTACTGTGTATATTAGCTATCTACTGATATGTAAGAAATTACTCCAAAATTTAGCAGCTTAAGCCCCCATATGTATTGTCTCACACAGCGTCTGTGGGCCAGGAATTTCCGAGTGTCTTCATTGGGTCGTGCTGGGTCCGGGTCTCCCATGAGATTGCATTTAGGATGTTGGCCTTGGCTTGACTGGGGCTGGAAGAGCCCCTTCTCCAATATCTCATTGATATAGCTTGGATGTTTGTCCCTTCCAAACCTCATGTTGAAATGTGATGCTGATGTTGGAGGTGGGACCTAGTGGGAGGTGTTTGGGTTATGGGGGCAGATTCCTCATGAATGGCTTGGTGCTGACCTCTTCCTGGTGATGAGTGAGTTCTCACCCTATTAGTTCACTTGAGAGCTGGTTGTTTAAAGGACTCTGGCACCTCCTTCTCTCTTTCTTACCCCCTCTCTTGCATAAGACACACCTGCTCCCCCTTTGCCTTCTACTTCTACCATCAGTAGAAGCCCACTGAGGCTTCATGAGAAACCGAGCAAATGCTGGTGCCATGCTTGTACAGTCTGCAGAATCGTGAGCCAAATAAACCTCTTTTATTTATAAATTACCCGGTCTCAGGTGTTCCTCTGTAGCAGTGCAAAATGGACTAATACACTCATTGACAGGGCTATTGGAAGGAGATCTCAGTTCATCTCCAGGTGGACTATTTATAAGGCTGTTTGAGTGTCCTCACATCTTGGCAACTGGCTTCCTCCAGAGCAAGTGAGCCACAAGAGCTCAGTATAATATTTCCTAGGTTAATAGATGTCATTTATTGTGTATCAGCAGTATGTTCCTTTTTATTGCTAAGTAACATTCCATCCTATGAATAGATCATAGTTTACCAATTCTATTGATGGACACCAAGGCTGTTTCTAGTTTGGAGCTATTATGAATAAAGCTGCTAAGAACATTCTTCCATGACAGTTTATGTGGGCATGTAATTTTATTGCTCTTGGATAAATACCTAGGAATGTAATTGTCAGGTTATGGGATAGGTACCTGTTTAATTTTATGAAATCTATGAGATCTTTTTCCAAAGTGGTTGTACCATTTTACATTTTTATGACGAAGTATGACAGTTATAATTGTTCCATGTCTTTGTCAAAATGTTGTGTTGTCATTATTTAAAAAAATTTAGCCGTTTGAGTAGGTGTGTATTATTATTTCATTATAGCTATAATTTGCATTCCTATGATGCCTTAAGATGTTGAGCACTTTCTCATGTGCTTGCTGGTCATTTGTATATCCTCTTGCACACGCGCACGTGTGTGTGTGTGTGTGTAGTTCTATGAATTTTTTTTTCTTTTTGAGATAGGGTCTCACTCTGTCACCCAGGCTGGAGTGCAGTGGCATGATCTTGGCTCACTGCAGCCTCAACATCCTGGGATCAAGCGATCCTCCCACCTCATCCTCCCAAGTAGCTAGGACTACAGACATACCTGGGCCATTTAAAATTTTTTTGTAGAGAAGGGGTCTAGCTGTGTTGCTAGGCTGGTCTGGAACTCCTGGGCTCAAGTGATTCGCGTGCCTCAGCCTCTCAAAGTGCTGGGATTACAGGTGTGAGCCACCATGCTGCCCTGCCTAGTTCTATGATACTTTATCCACTATGTAGTATTGTGTGACCAACACCATGATCAGGGCACACAATATCACAAAGAAACTCGCCGTGTTTTCCCTTCAGAGTCAGAATCCCCA